TCTCTGTAAATTTCTCGGTCTAAACTGAGAAGTAAAGTGCAGTGTATTGACAGACAGAAAGACCTTCTCCATTACACAAGACAACATCGGCATGAATTGCATTGAAACTTATCTCTGCCTTGCCAGCAAAAAGGAATATTTTTTGACAGGATGCAGATTTATTTAGGCTCATCTTATTATATTTCGGACTTCCTGTCTTGGGGATGTTCCTTCCAGGAGATCACTGGTCATTCTCGCTGTGCAGTGGTTGCATTCCGAATTCCGAGTCTCCTTGTGCGTGCAGCTCTCTCGATTCGGAGCTCGGTGACGCAGGCACGCTTTTTGTGTTTGTCAATCCGCGCCGACTGATCTGCAGAGTCGGATTTTTGAGAAGGCGACAGAGCCCCCGCTTCAGACATTAATAAAACATCAAACAGGCCTGTTCTGTCACACCGAGCAGACTCACCATGCCTGCAGCTACTGTACTGTAGGTATCCTGCAAGTTCAGGAGACCGGAGCAGCTGAAAGAACATCTGCAGTCACTTCAGCGTTAAAATTCAAATGTTCATCTCAGTCTATTAAAGCAGGCTGGCACACTGCTGTGATAAACTAATTACGGTAATTGTGTGTACACTACATTAAACACAGATATTTCCTTCTTTTGTTCTCCTGTGTTCACTAAGTTCTTTGCTGTATTTGTTCACGCTGTTGTACATGTTTCCTCCTTTAGCACAACAGAAAAGGTACAATTGACCCAATATGCAGATTTGTTGTTTTTCCAACTAACTGGAGAACCCGGATTTTAATTTATTATTTGCATGTTAAACTGCTGGACTAAACAAACATAGGGAATTGAGTACATGAGAGGCTGCATCTCGGTTTGCCGCAAATAAATTCTGCTTGTTAAAGCCAATGCTGGAATTTGAACTCTGGTATGGCTTTGTGGTTGGAGGCAAAATAAAAATTATATTTACTGTTAATTTATCTTGGAAGTTTACTGGCATTAGCATGCATGTGTGAGGAAGATTCTTTCTTCTAAGATCCATACTAAGTGATTTCCCTGGGCCACACACAGCTATACTGCTCTGACGAGCCTAATAAAGCAGAAACAGCTGTCAGTGGCTGAAGACTTAATGAAAATCTACCGGAACCAGCATTAGAACCTCTTGATTTTTGATTTGACAGATTTTGCCTTCTGTCACTGTGAAATGGTCAGAGCTCATGTCTATCTACAGTGTGTGTACAGGCCGCATCAGTGCTGTCATTTTCACTGCTATGCTCTGTGGAGGCTATGTTGTGTTCAGGTGTCCAGTTTTGCTTGCCTTGGCAAGATGCACATCAGCTGTGTCAGCCGAAAATAGCTAGCAGCAAACACCAAGAAAGAGAAAAGGTCAGACGTTTGGCTTCAAACCAAAAGCAGAAAATCAGATCCTGCAAAACCTACTGCTCTGAAATGTCTGTGACTTTTCTTCACCTTACTCTATCGGCTGCAGATATGTGCCGCGTGATCTGTGATTCACAATCAACAATGTAGTTGCAGTGTCTTGTTAGCTTTTGCACTGGCCTCTAATGCTCTTCCTCTCAGTATAGATCTACCCCATACAGTTTTCAGTGTAGGCTAAAGAGCAGAGCTGAAATTAGAGTTGATGCTGTAGAAAAGTACAAACACGCCCGACTGTGGTCCCAGACATGCTTCTAAATTTTGCAGATGAGCTGTCTTCAAACATGTCTCTCATCTACTGATCTGTGGTGGGATAAAACAAAATTGAGAAATAATGACCAAGATAATAAAAAGCAGCTGTAAACATAACCTCAACAATGACGGGAATTTAATCAAAATCAGAATGCCTTGAAAGCCACTTAGCAGAATGTCTAGAATTCTTGTACAAACATAAGAAAGATGATAAATGCAGAGGCCAATTTGGACAATCCTCTTCATTTGGTAGCTGTTTCTTGAAGTAGCCCAAGTCTTGGGCCTTTGTATATGGAAATAAGAACTATTTCTTGTTTCCTGTCATTAACTTCCTTTTATTTGCCAGTGGTATACACGTTTCACCACTAAAGGCTGAAATAGGCCTTTATTGCTACATTTGTGTTTGCCATTCCCAGTTTTTCCCGTCCATCCATTGTCTCAATGCTTCATCCAGAACAGGATTGCAGGAGAACCGGAGCCTATACCGGCAAGCAAAAGGCACCAGGCAGGGTACACCCTGGATGGGACGCCAGTCTATCGCATGGGCAGATGCAGGGCCAACTTTCCCAGAGGTCAATTGATCTACCTGATCTACTCCTGAGTTTTATAACCTCAGATGATGCCGGTATAGGCTGCATAAATAGACTAAAATAGTCTTTGGACTGTGGGAGGAAACCAGAGAACCCAGGGGAAATCCAGGAAAAGAAGGGGAGAACATACAGACACCACACAGATGGTAGTATAGGAATCGAACCCAGGGCCCCAGCATGCAATGCAGCAATGCTAATATGTCTAAAACAGACATCGCTGAACACCTCTGCTTACATTGTCTAATTAGCGGTTAGACGTCTTAAGATGACATATTTCAAATTCATTTCCAATTCTCAACTGGATTTAACATGAATCGCTTTGGATTCTCTTAAAATGCTGAAGTTTTGTAAATATTCCTTTCCTAGTACATATTATTGAGCTTTTCAAATAGTTATTTACACTATTATTTTTTACTGTATCAGAATTAAGGCTGACTGGTCTGACTGATTCGGTTTTCCTGAGTTAGTGTTATATTCGCAGTTCACGGATCTGAGGATACATCTCCCATCTTTAGCAACGGTTAAAATATCCAAGGTCAGTTATATCCGAGAGAATAACATCTTTCATTTCCTTAAGTACAACAGGGAAAATTCCATCAGCAATTCATTCAGTTTCAGCTGCTCTATGTCCTGTCGAACCTCAGTGTCTGTTATGCTAAAATTGCTAACCTTCAACAATTATGGTGATCTATGGGGGTGTTATTTATGTCTTCTGTTTTAAAGCCCAACATGAAATATTCATGAAGTACAGTACATTCACCATGTCTTTTTCATCTATGAACCTTAGGTCACATAAAACAAAATTTAACATTTGTATTTGTTTTATGAAAGAATCACTGAGGTTGTCACCAGTCATGTATATTAATGACAGTCTAATATTAAGTCTGTCATTTGGAATAGTCTTCAAGCTACTACAGGCAAATCCATGTAGATGTGGAAATTTCCACATGTCCTTGAGCCAGGAGGTACACAGATCTATCACGGACCTAAAACATGCCACGTAACTGGTGATTAAATATATTCAGAACTTGAATTCACATGTTAATCAATTCATGATTTGCAAATTCCCAACTGTTCTTTCAGACTACAATGTATTTTTATGCAGTGATTTAAGGAGGCAAACACTTTGACAAACAGCTGTTGTTCTGAATAAAAAGTAATGTGATGTCTTGGGGGAAAATCATCTGAAGAATGTAACTGGAAAATATAGCACAAATCATGAACAGTGGTTGTAGTGATATAGTTTGCCCAGAAGGTGGAGCTGCAAGACAAGATTTGATAATTTACTGAGCATTTATGATGTACAGCAACTGACTGTACTAACCTAAATCTAAATAATCACAATATAACAGATCAGGAGTCTGTTACAGTTTTAATTAAGCAATTCATAATTAAATACAATCACATGATTGGAAGCTGAGATACTTTGTATAGCTGCAATAGTAATTACACCACACAATCTACACTCCTGGTCAATTACAGATCACGTACAGTAGTAGTATTTGGTGTGTTACATACAATTAGTGTGAATAAGTTTTTGAGTGTAGTGGGTTATCTTTTAGTAAAATGAGTCTGATCTTATATCTTCACAATTTTAAACGGCCTTAAAAATGTTGTATTAACATGTAAATTAATCATTTCACCATTGCCAACCCTGTCACTTAATTACGTCTTAGAGAAATAATGATGACCAAATATTCAGAAAATATATTCTGAAAGTGTTTTTTTCTGTTTGCTTTCACGTTTATAAACATCATAAAGTAACTATTCAGATTAATTAATCATATATATGGATTTGCAAAGATTATACTGAACAAATCAACAACATTGATCAGCTGTTCACTTAGTGTGTTTATTGTGGCAGGATTAGTTTAATGAGTTTTCATGAAGCACTTATATTGATCATAGGAAGGAGCAACAAACTATTCTTCCTTTTGATTTACGGACAGTCTCTTCCCATCTCAAAGTGTGCAGGGGGATATGCAATCTAGATTCTGATGAATTTGTAATTATGGCAGAATAACTGGAAAAGCAAAGGTAATTGATCAGAATATCTATCATTGGACTGTAACAGTAATGTAATTGGAATTTCCATGAAAGACACTACTGTAAATTTTAAATGCAGTTATTTCATCTTGGATTCCTTGTAGCCCTGTGGCTCTTTACTGGACCCTGACAGCCTGAAGAGTATATTTTCCATTGAACAGGTCTTAAGGTATGCAGTAAAATGTAATGAGCTCGGCTAACACTACAAAGAATGCAGCAGTGGTATCTGAATTGAAGTGGACGGCGAACATTGCTGTTTCAAAGTGGGCTTCCCAGAGCAAACTGATACCCCAGGGACAGTGCTTCATGAAGGCCTGCCAGCCTCCCCTCACAGATGAAATGGACCCAGATGACTGCTGTATGCACCCAGACGGCAACCTACTGAGATCTGTGCTAGACTCCAGTCTGGAGACACAATATTCACACGGCCACATTATGAACATTCTTTAGTCACAGTGGTGGACAAATGCACCAGCATTAAGACTTTGTAATTCATCAATTTGTGCAAAAATCCAGTTGTGGTCTGTAATATTTAAGTGAGAGATATGCAATTTGTATACCATCATTCCAGATATGGATGGATGTTTGCCTGTCTGGCACTTAGGGGCAGCAACATCCTGTTACCGTAACCTTAGTTTTTTAGGGGAGAGGGTTGTTAGCCTTGTGCCCAACCTCCAACATGGAGGACCTGGTGCCTGACGTGGGACACGAACCCACTACCCTGAGATTATGAGTCTCATGCTCTACCAACAGAGCTAGCCAGGGCACATATTCCATATATATATATATCCTTAATTATTTGATTGATCTTCAACAGCATTTTCAATGAAAATCCATTAAAGCCAGTTAAGCACAGGCTGTCTCCAGATCCGGAATTGGCTATGTCATGGAATGGAATGGAACTGTCCTGTGCTCTAGGGGTAGTCTAGAGCAGTGCTTCTCACTCCTGATCCTGGAGTGCTCCAGGTCCATTGATGTTGACTGTCCAGCAAGTCTCCAGGTCAGCCGTTAACAATGGACTCAAGCCTGCTAATTCAGGTTATCTTCCTGGTGTCCTGTACATCATGAGTGCACATCTCCAGTCCTGAAGGGCCAGGAAGTTTGTGGTATTCTTTCAACATAAGCCCTGAATAACTCATTGCTTAATTGGACAAGCCTCTCTTTTTTCCCCAGAGAAACTAGAGATTTAAAGAGAACTAGAAACCTGCTGTACAGCAGCCCTTGAGTTGGGCTTCCCTGGTCTAGATGCTTATGGACTTTGTTTTCTACGCAGGTTTGAGGGGAGTCTATCCATCACAGAGCTTCTGGGGGGTGAAACAATGCAGCATGTTAATCTGAGTGTAAATCAGAAACAAGAAATTGCCAGATGTTTGAGTCTGGTGAGTCTCTCTCATGTGTGAGTCAGAAGAATGGTGCAAAGAAATGAATTGTGCCTGAAATAAAAAAAGAAATGAAAGAAAGACCTTGAAATTTTCAATTAAACTCAATGTGGGTGCAACAATGACACAACGACTGGATCAACCTTTGGAACCAGAAAGCATCTGAAAGCGGTAAGAAACAATCTATTGGAAGATGCTGGTGGGGTTAGTGCACATGGGGTGGAGGTGTGTGCCACTGCCAATAAGTAAAGCGCACAAACATCACCCTTACTGCTAGTGATAGGAGTCTGTGCCATTTCTGTTGATGCCATGGCATGATTAACAGGGACATCTGTGGCTAATCAGTGAGGGTAGCAGTGAGAATGTGGAGCCATAAGGAAATTCTTTAAGGTCCTCTTAGAGGAAAAAAAGGGAACTGTCCATAGCTCAAACTTGTACTTAGTTTTTATAGTTATATGATGGTGATGAAGAAAAAGCTGTAAATACAAAATAAATAAAAATGCATAACATCATTGATTTGCCCAAAAAAAAATGTTTTCCATCATTATTGATTGATGTATTATTTCATAGTAGGCTTTTCATTAGAACTTTGTTTCTAAACTGTATATTTCATCTTTGCATAGGCTGGCACTTTTATCCAGTGTTTTAAAATTATTAATACCCCAATACATAATATATAGAAAGTGTATTATAAATTCAGAAGTTATTGAAAAGCAAAGTGCAATAGTAAGCAGAATAATCAGGAAAAGTATGGGATACAGCACAAACCTGAGGCTGCCACTTTCCACAGTGCAGCGCTAATACAACGAAGGATTGCTCTCAAGAATAGGACTTCATCACCAAGTAGAGAAAATCCTCAGCCCAAACACTGACATTAGTGACTCCTTCTGTGACCGCTGGGTGGAAGTTGGCCAGCTACCCACAGCTTGGAAAGGATCTTTCAAATCCAGCAATTAAAAGGCCCAAGAAAACTGTATGGGGGAAAAACACATGTAAGGATGAAATCCGCTGAAGGGATCCTTATGAGAAACTACAGGGAAGTGCATTTAAAACCAAGCACAGGAGACAAACCTTTACACAAAGAGTTGTGGGTGTCCACACATGTTGTTGAAGGTGAAACCCTGGCCTTCTCTGAGAAATGGCTGCTGGATGAGATCCTTTACTCATTTAGCTACTGACTACCGATCTGAGCTGATTCGTCAAATGGCCTTTGCTTAGTGGTTTCGTTCCTATGTTCTTATTGTACTATCTGCTATGTACTGTATATTGTATATGAACACTTAACACTAGGTAGAGTTTTGAACCATAAAGCCTATATAAGCAAGAAATGCAGTTTAAAGTAATTGACCTTTTCCATAGGGAAGTTCTATTTGTGGCACAGTGTAAGACAGTGAGTCTAACAGGATGATGACAGCTCAGCAGATGATAGCCACAGTATGATGATGGCCGCTCCTCCGGTGCCTTGTCTGACTGTCCCCTGTGGAGGGAGAGAATGAATCTCTCTACCCAAGGTGTCTCCGGTGAAGATCAGTATGCGCTTTCCGGTGCTGAGTTACATAAAGGGCAGACTGCTGTGGTCTAATCGCGCCATCTCCTGCCAGCTAATGCCGTGCGAGCTCTGTGCCATGCCATATGGCAGCTTCAGTTCATACTCTGCAGTCTGGGATGGCGCATGGGCTCAGTGTGTCTAGTTCATTTACATGACCCCCCCTCTTTAGCTGCTTACTGCCCCGTATGAGAACTGAGGGACAGCACTGTCTGGATCTGCATCTCCATAGTCTTGGATCAGGACTCCTGCGCCTGCACCTGTAGCCTCTGAGATCCTTGTCTGCAGAATTCGTGATTTTTGCATTCTGTAGGAAACTGTAGAAATTAATTTATAAACCAGATATTAGATTTGATTTTACAGTGCATTCGATCTTTTTCAGGCCTGTTTAATTGAATCAGTATGGTAGTTTAATCATCATATATGTATAGTTTACAATGGACAAAAACATAGTCCTCATACAAACGTCCATTCATTATAGTACACAGCCCCCTCCATCCTATCAAAGTAATATTCGTTATTTTACAGTGCCGCAGACAATTTATTAATAAGCATTCATATTTCTAAAGCAATAACCTCTCTCCAGCATCAGAGATGTGCCTGAATTTGCAGATTGCTGAGGGGGATGTTATCCTGTTAAATGTTTAGCTTCATATTTATTTTTTTTATCTAGTGCCTGCCTGCAGCCCCTGCAGGTAACACAGCAGCAGTTTCCATCTGATTAGTGCTGGCTGTGTGTCCTCCAAATGGGTTTTTCCTGTTAGAGGGGGAAGCCTGAAACCGGGGCAGTTTGTAAGACTCTGAATGCTGCAGCCGAGAGGATGTTGTTTAAAAAGGTTCTAATACCCCAGTACAGCTGATTTAATACCACACCTCAACGCTGCCCTCTTCTGATAAACACTTTTCTTAATATGTAGTTTAGCAAAATAAACCATGTCAGCATTAAATGCTCAATAGAAAAAATATAGCTTTCTCATTCTGTGTGAGATGTTTAACATATTTTTTCTATAAGATCTTTGTTTTGAGCTTTTTATATGAAGTTTAAATCTCTGATTTAAATGTAAAATGTAATTACTAGTTATTATAATATACAGATTATATAAAATGGTCCAACTTTTTCTTAGCACCAGCATGTTTTGCTCTGTAATGCACATGTTTTATTTTGGGCAGGCAGGTACACAATGTTTTGCGCTGAAGTGTTATTTGATGGGATTATGTCTCCTTAATGTAAGAGGTGTTTAAATTCCCCTCAAGCTGCTTATTTTTGTGCAGTTCAAATTTAGAATCAAAGCGGTTTAGCCCTGATGTTGAGACAGCTCTCAAAAATGTTAGAGCTGTGAAAGGCAAAAGGTTTTGTGTCTGCTTTGGCTTACAGCCCAGTAACAATCGTCACTGTGCCCAGACAGGCCCTGCTGCAAGGCTGAACAAGGAGGTCCAGGGCAGGCTGTCTGTGCACAAGTGGTACGTGCTCTCTGGGAACTACTGCACAATGAAGCCCTTTTCCTGGGGTGTCTCTATTGATTGGCCACATCTTCATTGCAGATGACGGACCACAAAACCCGAAATAAGGCTCCCATCTCAGTGCAACTCGATCCAGTTCACAGTTTGCGAACCGCAAGGCACAATTTGTATTGCCGAGGCAGAACAAGCATATTTCATTTCTCCACGCTCGTCTCTGTGCCAGATTGTTTCATCCCGCGCAAGTCTTGGATCCTGCAGTGAGTGCAGTGCGTGGAACTGCTATGCAATGGAAATCTTATTTCTGTACCCCATCAGGCATATAGCTGGTAGCTTGTCTGGATTGTGCTCCTACTTAGGTGTCTTTGTGGGCCTCACAGTCCTCCCCTGATTTCTCTGTCTGTTCTATTTGACCTATCTTATTGAACTCCCACCTCCCACTAGTGTCATTGTGCACTACACCATTTGAAATCGATAGCCATGCTGCCCACTGTCTGATTTCAAGGTGGCATGCCATGATGACATCATTTTGACCAATAATACGAAGATCTCTTTCATTAACTGATTTATTTCCCCTGAAATATTGCAGCCTCTTTTCCTATTCTAGAAAAAGCTTGCATGGATAGAAAGGAGTTAAAGTCATCTTAGACTTTGCCTTAGCTGAAACATTTCTGAATGGAAATTATAATGAAGTAACTGCAAGAGCTTGTGTTGGTAAGATTGTAAAAACACCGTACCTGTAATAGTTTACAAGAACAAGATCATTGCCTTGTTTGCCATTTCGCTCTAAGATGTTTCGTGTTTAGGACTACAGAGGGCGTACTTTAGTTTATCGTTTTTAAATGAACCCGTATGTCGATGCAAATTTATCAACGACAAAACAAGACTATGTAATTAGGTAAAAGTGCAGTGATAGTAACTTAGGAATCAAAATTATGTATTGTTTTTTTATTGTCGCTTGTTTTCGGCAGTTTTCGCTTCTTGTTCTCTTTCAATCACAACTAAAGCAAGGCTGATGAGTATCAGATTAAATTATGCATCAGCCTTTAATTCTTCTGGGGCTTGTTAAACTTCAGAAAATAAGATTTTCATGGTTCATAAAAGGAGAATTATGTAAATTAACTGTTCCGCGGTTTTTTAATGTAGCCCCTGATTACGCGCACTCACAGCAGGTTTGACAGCCGACCCTGCCTGCAGTTGGTGATTTAAATATATAGAGTGAAAGACATTTTGAAAAGACTTGCCTAATATCTTTGACCGTTGCCCGGTATAAACGTACGTCAGCCAATAACAGACGCTTCCTCGTATTGAATAGTTCTGCTTGAGAGCAAAATATAGTTTAGTAGTATATATGTTAATGTCGAATCTCCAATTATCGTTTC